CAACTTGATATGAGCTCTTCTAGCCTGTTGCCGTCATAAATGACTTCCTTCTTGCTGTATGTGGCAGACCTTCTTTCCAGCTTTCGACTGAATCGTTTATTGCAAGAGGAGAACTACTGAGACATCGAGCAAGCTCCAGCTTCGGTTGTTGTGAACGTGGTCGATCTCTGCTTTAGTCGTTCCTCTGGGTGAATAAACCACCGGCATTGCTCTTTGTTTCTGAACATGAAGTGGAGTAGAAGATTTGAGCTAAGAAGTAATGATGATCCGTTTCAGGCAGCATCTTGTGCTTTTATCTCGCTTGATGAACTGAATGAATTGCTTCCCGCTAATCTCCTGCTTGAACTACGAGAAGGTTCCGTGCATGCTGTAAATGCTGACACTGGGACCGTCAGATGCATCTATCCTGCGCCTGGTGCTGGAAACGGTAAGTTTTCGATCAGTTGGTTTTCAAGCATTGAAATCAGATATTTGTCTTATGAAGACACACATCGCCGTAACGGCCGCCGCTCTACATGCAAAACCACTGATGCTCGCCGTCGTCCTTGCTTTCGAGTTGAATTTGCCTATCCGAAAGGAAGTGAACGTGATGAGAGAGCTGTTGCTAAACCGAATTTTGAAGTAGGGGTTATGCTTTCACCTTGGAGTTGGTCCAAAACCTCAAGAATGTAGGTAGAGCGCAGTGAGCAAATCTATTCTGCTCAAGCATTCGCGGCAACTCGTTTTGGATCCACCAAGCTCAAGACCTACCAGGTAGTTCCTTTATGCCCTATTCGGTGCTAGTAACATGTATTCGAAACATATTGTATGCATTGCAGTCGTCACAGTGTGGAGAAAATGGCTACGGGCATCATCCTTTCACAATGCCATCAATTTATGCTTATTTGAGGTAAATTTACAACTCTCTTGGGCAAAATCCTAAATTTTTTTCGTGCAGGCTGCTTGTGTTCCTAAATGCGATTGCTTGCGCATCAATGATGCAAGTCACGGAAGAAGATTCTGACACACAAAAGAGTGAAGAATACTCTGATGAGGAAAAGGTGAGTTGCAAGACATCGTTGGATATTCGCGCCCAATTATGTCCCCGTTCTTGGACTTCAGAAGCGACTTCTGGAGGACGCTCAAGGTGACCGTGCAAGTAGCGGGTTCGTTGATGATGACGAGCTTAGCGACCGTTAGTTCTATATGAAATTTGTAGCCACTGCTTTAGAACGGAATTCTTGTGATCTTTAACTGTAGCAAAAACTAAGCAATCCCATAGTCGTATTTTGTGCGGTCTATGACATCGCATTTACAGATGTGAATGAAAAGCCCGAGAAAAGCTGCTAAAGAAGGAGATACGATTGTCGTTGCTAAGCCAAAAATGGTTAATAAACATTAAGAGCGAAACTTGTTCTTTCTTTACAGTCTTGCGCTCGTGAAATGAGCCACATCTCATAGTTCGAAGTTGCATTTAAATCATCTAGAAACGAGTTTGCCTTGATTTTCTCGCTTGAACTTCCTACTGTTGGAGACATCATCCAGAATTTTAGTTTTGTTTCTCTTCTTATTCTAAATACACTCGTAGTAGATTCCATACAGCTAGTCAAGGTGTGCCAAAAACAACGAGTTACATAGAAGAAAC